TAACACTAATTAACTCAAAAGTAGCTTCTACAGCTAAATTATGTGTGTTAACTGTGAAAACATGTGGATCATGTTTGAATCTCCTATTATTATTATGACGGTGCTATTTGGTATTATCTATCACTCAATGACATTAGGGTCAGCCTCGTATGTTGGACCTTATACTTTATCATCAAATTGTATCCCATGTAAAACAGAGACTTTTGTGTTTCCAAAGAGCTCATTTGCATCCATGCGTGACGGCGTGAGTGGTTTAAGAAGACCTTTAAATGTAACAACAGTTTTTGTGGTTCTGCCATCGTGTAAAATGACTTAACAGTCCCCATAGAGCCTCATGAACTTTTATATCTGGAAGTAGCCACCACCTGGACGATTTAAGCAATGTAAAGTTTATATATGTATATTTAAGTGCCACGCACAGAGGGGAGCTGCTCAGTCACCTCCAAACTCCATTATCTATGCCTGGGAATCCCAGACTCGTGGATCCTGAAGTAATTTTGGGTATAATGTCTGACCACATTTTATTAGTTTCCCGTGTGTTTCACAAAACCGACTGAAATTGACCCAAAGCTGTGTAACTGATTAGAGCATAAAATGTAATCATTCCACAACCAGCATTATCTCTTCTTTTTTGAATAGGCAAAATTTAATAGACAATTAATGGACAAAGAAGATGGCTGGCTCTTTCATAGTAATTCTTCAGTGTTGACCTTGTCAATCCATGACAACTTTCCTTTAGTATCTCTATGCCCACTTAACTACATTAGTAAGAGGGATGCTGAAGAATTGGAACAGCAGACACATGTAAAAAAGAGAGAAAGAGAGAGAGAGAGAGAAAAGGACACAAATACAGTTTCTAAAAATTACAACTGGCACAGGCTGGAACTCGAAAAAATCCTAAAAGGTGCAGTAATTGAGCCCAGAATTTCAGGGGGAATTGGCACATGAAATATTTGAGACAAATAATGCATGTCTCAGATAAAAACAGATTCTGTGCTGTTGATCTGAGCTCTCTCCTTCACTGAATTGGAACTAAAATGGCCTCCAAGTGTACTGAACAATGGGGGTGAGCATAATGCAGTGTGACTACTGAGTGACTTGACTGAGATCCAAAGTGAATAAAAGGCCTCACTATGTGAGCCAGCGAGGCTGAGCTGCTGCAGTGCTCAGGACTTTGGCGGGTGACAGTGCGTTATAACGCTTCACACACATTTCATTTGCCAATAAATCCTATTGCCATTTCCCACATTGCACGCGGCCTGTGTCATCAAAAGTTGTAATCATCAAATAAGCATTTGTACATAGTCTTAAAGAGTTTTTTCTCCCTCTGAAATGTAAAACCCCTGTCCTTCGACTTAAATTATCCTTTGTAAAGAGCAGCCTGAGAACGCATCTAAAGAATTTATGTAGTTTATTCATATTGCATATTGCATGAAAGAATCAAATCAATGTTCAAGAGAATCAAGACATTTCTAACCTACTTATTGTGATTACAATGAATCTGAAGACCTAGTTTGTGTGGACTCATTAAATATTAATCGAAATCTTCGACACGAGATTCATTTTTTTGTGTTGCATTATCAAGTTTGAAACTAATTATTAACCCTTATCTGCATAAAGCTTCTTATTGCCACAGTCACATTTGGCAGATTTATTCGCTATTACCTAAAATTCAATCACGCCACAGAAAAAGGAGGCATGGCAAGAGGAGTAAGATGAACTAGCATACCTGGCAGATTATCTGACAAATCGAAACCGTGTTTGGATGAGAAAAGTCAGATTTCCCCTTTCATTTCTAAATGATGACTGTGTAACGCTACGGTGCGTTTCAGTGACAGTGATTTAAGGAAGAAAGGGGTTTTTTGTAGAGTTGTTTTGTTTCCATGTAACAGTGAGGCATTTTGACATAAACATGACAAAGCACATCCCTCTCAGACAGTGACACCCCTTGACCCTGACCCTTGAAAACTGGCAACTTTAAACCAAATGAGGGAAGAGAATAATATATCTGTCCTCAGCCAAAGATCAGACAAGACAACGCCATGTGACCGCGTTTGTGAAGCCAAGTGAAACTTGGTTTCTTTGAACAGAGCCGCTTGCATGGAAGTACCAATATTTGCAGAGAACGTGGCTGAAAAGTGTGTGTGTGTGTATGGGTGGGGGGACAACTGGGTAAGAAAATTGTCTTAAAATGTTGCGCTGTTCTGGCTGTCTGGTTGCTGAAAGCCTCTTTTTGCACATGCTTTAAAATTGTGACAGAATAGAAGGTGTGAGACATTTTCTGCCAAGGTTTTACTTAAAGCACTTTTATATTTGTGCGCTCTGAAATTCAGAGTCACATTAGCTGGAGTCACTCTCGACTATTCATTGGGCTGATAGCGAAAAAAAAAAACACATCCAGGAACTCACAAAGAGGGAACACAGTCAGTTGAGTATTCACCTACGAGCAACTCGGAGCCTTGAGCCGACTTAATTTTGATTGTGTGGAAGGTGTTAGGAATCCCACAAAAAAAAAAAAAAAAAAACCAGACCCCAAAATTAAATCTGTCATGCTGTGAGTGCTACTGCACCACTGTGCTGCCTTTTACAACTTTTATTCATGCAACGGGAGAATGTGATAAAAATAAAACTGCATAAATGAGTCATCAGAGTAGTACATCTGGATTTCATTGTTATTGCTGTGGCTTTCAAAATGTCACCGAATGGGATCTGCTTCCCCCCCTGAATAATCACCTTAAATAATCAAGAGCATCAACTTTCAAATTGCTGTTACCCCCCAGTCTGTGCGAAACGCCGGTGGGGTGTTTCTGTGGCATGGCTGGAGTACACAACCTCCGGCCCTGCTTTTCTTTGATGTGCTCCGAAGCCACCCGCTACCAGGAACTGAAGATCAAAGACACGTGATTTTATCAAATAGAGCTCTTGTCGACTGTTTGTAATGCTTTATTCTTCATCAGGAATACCCACTCTGTCACCACGATGCCACAAGAGACGCAGTGCTCTTTTAAAACCCAGTGGTGATCTCCCCGTTATCCAGATGAAAACGGATTTATTCAAACCTCCCATCAACCAACCCTATAAATAGAAGCTTGTGGAAAATCTTCTGAGAGAGAGAGAAAAAAAATAATCTGTGCTCTTAAGCTGTTATTAACATGCTGATAGAAAAATGTCAAATGTTATTTTAGAGCAGGGAATTTTCTGTGAAAAGAAGCATAACGCTTCCCGGTAATATTTATGACACAAATGTAAGATTTACTAAATGATGAAATTACCTGACAAAATACACAGCTGAGTCATACTTACTGTTGTTACTCCACATGCTATTTGACTGTGTGTGTGAGGGGGCTGGATTGTTAATGGTAATTTTCTTCAGATGGTGTATGCATTATGGCTTAAGGGCTCTAGAGAAGCAGTAGCTAAACTATTCTCGAAATGGGTTTGTCATCCAACTTGATGGAGGTTAGCCACCTTAAAAATCACATGGAAATCTAGAGCTAGAGTAATTCTCACAAAAGCCATATAAATATCTTGAATGCTGTGGTGCTGATGCATCTTACGATAAACAAATTCCACATATGTGCGTTTGAAAAACGTGCCTGGAAATGTGACGTGGCACATATCAGTGCTCATCTCCAGTCAACTGAACAGCTGAACTACTGCAATCAATATTTGTCTCTTCTTTGTGATAAGATAACTGCCACCTGTTATCCAAGGTGTTATTATAGCAACTGTTATTTTGGTACTTGCCACAGGGAACTAGCTCCATAACATTCCTGCAATCATTATTTCCCCACATCCCCCTCCAAAAAAGGTTGATTCATTATTTTTGGTTCATTGTGCCTTGATGAACACCCCTCCCTTCCCTGAAGTATGTAGCGTATTCCTCAAGGTGGGACGGTTCTCTGCTATCTGTTAAAATGCGAGCAGTTATGTGTCGAGAATGGCTTTCTTCGCAGTAGGTGAGAAAAAAAACACAACAACAAAAGATTAAAAAAAGAAAAAAACTCCCCCTACTAAGTGATAACACGAATACACAGAGAAATAACAGCCCTTATCATAAATAATAATTCGCTTATCTACTTTTCAATGTGTGTGGATGAATAGGTGGTTTGTGCATGCATGGGTGCTTGATGCATGTATGCACATTAGTGAATTACATGTCAACTGAAAATGCCGTCTTTCCTCTGTATATTGTTATTGCTCATTTCCAACAAACAGTGAAAACACGTTGCATTGCTCTATGGCAGCACTGCAAAAGTAGTATCCCTCTAGAACAGCTTTGAAAGAAAAGAAGAAAAAGCTCGTTTTTAAAATTAAATAACCTAAATACATTCCCGTATTTTCTGCAAAGCTAAACAATCCTTAACTCTTACATCTCATCCACAAGCTTTATGTGTTGCATTGCTTGAGCATTGTGCTCCAATTGGACACTGCTGCATCTATGATCCCAATCGTTCCATTTGCCATACAGGCTGCATGCCAATAAAAATGAAGGATGTGTCCGTATTGACCGCTGCTGGTCTTTGTATGGATGACACTGACATAAATGTATATACACACAAAAAAAATTATCTTTGGATTTGCAGCCATTTTAACTCTGCTTATGTGTACAAAAACAGCCATTTTAAAATTCACAGCAATGATAGTGCATTTTGAATTCAGTCCAACCAAATGAAAGACCCCCTTTTTAGATGGTTTGGTTTGTGCTGGTGTGGTCTTTACTACACCCAACTCCCCCGGCAGCTTTTTTCCCCTTTTATTCCTTCATCTTCTTCTTTTATTTTTATCTTGAAGTTGACTCATTTCTGAGCCAACTACACTAGATATATCTATGTGTGCTCTTTGTTTCATGGGCCATCACACTTCAAACATGCAATTAGGGCAGAGGTAGGAGTGACTGACGTGCACATTTATTTGACATGATTGCTATCTTCTCTATGCATACTTAATTCCATATACAACTATTTCAGCATAAAGAAGAAAGATGACAGGATACTCACCTTCTTTAGGAGGCCGTTTAACTTCTGCGGTCAGATTGCAGATCTGCCCGGCTTGTAGTTGGGGTGACAAGCAACCCTCCGTTTGTGGATTCAAGGGTAAAACCACGTTGTTGAGCATGAGCATGCTCTCTGATTCTCCATCGCCTAAATGCTGAGGACATGTGCATTTCGTGTACACAATCCCACATGTCTCCACTGTCCCTTTTTCTAATTTCAGGCAATTTTCCAGCCATGTACAAAGCACTTGACATCCAAATTGGCTAGGGCTGGCCTTGTTCAACACTAGAAACTCCACAATAGACTTCTCCTCCTCATCCAGCTTCTGTGGCGTCAATCCATTGTAATCATAAGGGAAAACTCTCCGTAGCTGAACAAAATTCTTGTCATACAGCAAAAATACGTAAATATTCTTTGAATCACACAAATACACTATAGACTCGTTGACTCTCAGCAGTTCATTGATCTTTTCATGTGAGTAATGGTCAAACTGATAAGCAAGCAAAGAGTATTCAGAGCAGCTCAAGTCTCGCTTGTATAGCTTCAGGTAGATGCTGTATTTGGTAGGGTCAGGGTTCTCCAGCGTCCATGTACAGTTTGTATAGTTCTTGGGAAACATTTCAGTCACTGAATATGATCCATAAATGACCCCCTTGACCAGAGTGGAACACCAATAATCTTGGGCACCAGTTAATCCAAACATAACCAGAAGATAGGTGGAAAATATATAAATCAACAGGTTTCGAACAGCCTTCATCCTATGTCATTTGGCCTGCAGGGAAAGATGAAGAGGATTACACAAAGGGATGTTAAAGCAGGGCACATAAACACATGATAGATTATCACTACCAAGTCTGACTAACGAGCTTACATAGTTCTTATTACATCCTGCCATGATAAGAAGGGGGGCAAAAAGACACACAGGTAAACCTCAGCAACATGTGTTTTGCATCTCCATCCTTCATCACTATACTTTGTGCAAGCATTGCCACCTTGTGGTTGCTTCGGCTATTATTTATTTATTTATTTTTATTTAGGGAGGTGGGTGCAATAATGTGAGTCATTTAGACTTATTAATTGGGTCGTATTCGGTACGGCACAATCCCCGGAGATATACAAATGTAGCTATTTAGAAAATCTGGCGACAAAAAGGAAGAAACGGCGAAAGTGGCAGCCTTTGTAAGTCAGCGCAGTCCACGCGAGTTGTGGAAAATGTGCAACTGCTCATTTTACGCAGTAACCAGTATCTTTGCACATGAAGCTATGTTCTCTGTGAATGTTTGCTCACGGGACAGTTAGATAATATGAGGAAGACAAACTGACGTTATATATATTTTATTATTATTTATTTGGGGGTTTTTTATGTCCTGGCGTGTGCTCGGTCACTGCGAACTGTCGCCTCTTCCACACCACCTGCATGTCTCTGAATTTCAGGGCTTGACATATTTGACAATGCAATTTGATAAAGAGACTGTGTGTGTGTGTGTGTGTGTGTGTGTGTGTGTGTGTGTGTGTGTGTGTGTGTGTGTGTGTGTGTGTGTGTGTGTGTGTGTGTTGTATGTCTGAGCTTGCATGTGTGCGTGTGCGGATCTACATGTGTGTGTGTGTGTGTGTGTGTGGGAGAGAGAGAGAGAGAGAGAGAGAGAATGCAATGCGATGTCCTGATTGCTTTAATCCTACAGGCAATGCAGCTGTGAGCAGTGTCACAGCAGAATGCGCGCGAGGGTGTGTGTACGTGTGTGCCTGTGTGTCTGTGTATGCGCGCGCGTGTCTCGAACTGTGTGTTGCGTGTGTGTCTGTGTGGGCGTTCAAATCGCAAGTAGGCTAGAGATGGGCTACCAGTTTTCACATAATAGATCCATTTGCGCATATGTCTTCAACTTCTTTCTCTTTGAATCGTGAATCACGCCCGTCACATTACCCCAGAATTATATGTGCGTTATATAAGGATTTGTGGAAGCGGTGCTGAGTTGGATCAGCTTTCTGCCGCGATAAATTCACATGATTTCACGTCCTTCCACAAGATTCACGACCAGGGCTAGACGAGAAAAATAAAATCAGTATTCTGGAGACGAGAAATCGGTCAAGAGACGCTGATTTTATTGCCGGGCTTCTAAGAGCAATTTAGACTCGAGAGGAAATCTGAATATAGAGACACGTCGGCCACGGGCTACATCTCATGCAGTGTCACTTCGAGGCTCGGCACTTTAAAGTGATTTTTGGCTCTTAAGAGAGAGATCAGCTCTTAAAATTCCTCTGTTAAGCACCCTGGACTAATGTGAGCGGATGAACGCTCCAAAACCATCGTGATGAATATACGGGGCAAATGTTTGAGAGAGGGAGGCTAAACTTTAACTGACAGATGACATATGAAAATTGCCATTGCACTTGCTCGAAGACCTTCATCTCATAATAATAATAATAATAATAATAATAATAATAATAATAATAATGTCTTACCTTACACTGCGGAAGCTATGGCTATTTTTTCCACATACTTGACCACATCCTTTATAAATAAATTCTGCAGCCCTCCAGTGAATCAATACTCCCCATTCCCGACAATAGAAGTCCGGCGCAACAAGATGGTTCAATGGATGAAAATAAAATGCGTTACACTCCGGTCTGCCCGCACATATCCCCCCGTCTCCTTCTTCTGGGTTTTTCCCATCAAAACGGAGCGCAACAACACACGACAGCCACCGAGAAAAAGAGAGAGAGAGAAGAAGAAGAAGAAGAAGAAGAAGAAGAAGAAAGGAGAAAGACCAGGAGAGACAGAAGGGAAGAAATTCTTGGAGTGACGACGAGAGCAATTCTTACAGTATTTACCATAAATTAATTCGGCAGACTCCACGTCTCTATTTCCCACCGAAATGTTTTCTCCATCAAGTCGCGCACCGACCCCCCCTCTCCGCAAAAAGGGGGTGAATAGGGAAAAGAAAAAGAAAAAAAGATCCGTAGTGGGTGGATGTGAGATGTTGGGGGGTCAGTGAGTTACAACACAGAGAGAAATAGACGCGCTTTGCTTGGTGCTTGCAGAGCTCCAGGAGCAGGCTGCAATATCACGTCACACTCAGCCGCTAAGATAAAGCACGTACGTACGCTTCTTACTGCCGCTGCGTCTGGCACCGCCACCACTTTCTTCCCTGCCCTCCTCCTCCTCCTCCCCTCTTTCTTTCCTTCTTTCTTTCCTTCTTTTTTCTCTCTCTTTTTCCCCTCATACAGCCTCCCTTTAATTCGAGTCAAAAGGGTTTCCCCCCCTGAACTGGACCCTCTCAGTTGTGCTTCAGACAATACTGCGCTTTGCTTCTGCGCCCTTCTCCAATCAGGAATATTTCACGGATTTTTTTATTTTTATTTTTTGTTACATTTTTTTTTCTGGATAAGAGGAGGGTGTGAGAATAACGTGATCATAAATGCTACTTGAGCGCTCTATCAGTGGGACTTGAGAGCTCGCTGGTGTGTTTGGTAATTTTCCCTTCTCTCCTGATGGGTGACAGCCGCTGTTTTGATTTCTTCACAGTTTGTCGATGTGCAGCACCCTGCACGTCCTCCTGCTCGCCCGAATTCGCGCTGCTGGAAGAACAAATGCTTATGGGGCAACTTGTGCCGTCTGTGGAAAGTTGTGCCGGGGTGTCTTCACCTTACAGGTGCAACTTTAAAGCTGCTGTTTTTCTTTCACTTTATTCTGCTTTCTCGGGGGAGTGCTTGCACAGACCGCCTTAATGCTTTCCCTGAACTCTTTCAAACGTTTTTTTTTCTTACAGTCTAAATGTGCATTCATTCAATCATCAGTAGTGAACTAAATGCTCCAGGTTTCATCAGCTGGCCGCTGACAATGAGGCACAAATGGTTCTGCAATAGTCTTCATCTCCCACTGGCTGAACTCATGGAAAGAATGGAATTGTAATGGAATGGGGATAGGGAGCTTCAGGGTGATCCAAATCACCTGCTGATCACACCGCCCCTCCAAATGAAGGTGGAGGAGGGGTTTTGTTTTCATATGTGCCTTTTCTTTATCAGCATCCCATACAAAGGCTAAGCACAGACCTGATCATGTGCTTAAAAGAAAATGTATGGTAAAGGAATGGCTGTCTTTGTTTTAGCCATGCCACGGGCTGGATAGTTGTCCAGGGTCTACTCCGCCTCTCGCCCAATGCCAGCTGGGATAGGCTCCAGCCAACCACCACTCTCCACAGGACACAAGCGGGTAGAGCTTGGATGGATGGAGAAATGATTGTGCATGACTTTCACATAGCTTGGAGCTCAATTCATTTGCATATTTGGGTTATTTGCATATTCAAAAAGGATGACATTCAATTGGTAAGTCCAGACAGAAACAACTGTTTGGTGTAGTTTTATTTTGTGATTTCTTTTTTCTTGGAGAGTTTGGTCAGCTGCTCTAATCATTTTACTGCGAATAGTTAACTCTCATTAGCCTGGCCGTCTCTTTCAGGCCCTGACTGAATGCGTTCCATCTGAGCAGATGCTGCATGAAGAAGCTGTTTGTTTATTTATTTCCAGGAAGTTTCAATCTGAAGTGTTTCTAAGCCAGCCTTTCCAAAAGAATGCTACAGAACCACACAGAGCAGCAGCGTTGTGAGAATCTGAAAGGACTTGTCTGTATCTCCAGCATCCTATCCCACACAGCGTTTACAACATTGTTAATCGGTTGCCAAACTTATAAAGGAGCTTGGAGTCCTGTTGGTTTCTGTGGCCTGTGACTAGAAGCTTTCTAATTCCAGTCTTCCCCAGGCAGCCAGTGGAACATCAGGGGTGACCTCGAGTCAGCCCACTTTCCACGGCCATAATGAAGACTTGGGTGTTTAGGGAGCTTTTGGCTCAGCACGCCAAGAGGTGGGAGAAATTCATGCAAAGCCTTATTGAACAATGAAAACACAATAAGTATCTCTCCACTGACTCACGAGGAGGCCAATTGCCAAGCTCCAGGAATGCAGCCATCACTCTCCTCTGCAAGGACATTTCCAGAGTCCAGCTGGTATGCTCTGTGGTTGCATTATTGTCACTGCAACAAGAAGAAAAGATTACATTTACTACATTTAAGATTACATTCATGAGGGAATGTGAGTCCAGAAATTGTGGCCCAAGTAAGCAGTCAGCTCAAGAGTGAAAGATTGTGCTGCACTGTGTGATAACAATGAAGCTTTTGAATTTTCTTGAATTTTTCTTGAATTTTCTTTTTGAATGTCTTGGATTTGCATTCAGCAAGTGTAGTAGTTGCACATGCAGCACGGCAGTTTATCCTCTGCTAGAATCTCCAAAACATTTGTGATATTTTTTTTCATCTAATAGCAGTTGCGGAATCTGTCATATTATTCAGTCAACTCGAGTCTGTTTGAGCACATGGAATTTGAATTATTCATGACCCCGCATATAGAATAGCCCTATTATCACCTGCTCCTGTGTGTGTGTGTGTTTGTGTGACTGAAATCTACACTAACACTTGTGTGCGTGCGCGTGTGCCGAACAGTATATCTCTCTGATATTATGGCTGCATTTCATTTCATGGCCGTTGCAAAATGCAGTGTGATAAACATTAGCCTTTTGATCATGTGATAATATCAGTTTATTGATGTGAATCAACCTTTATGATTAGCATGTGAGTGGATACAAATATATATATAAATTGAATCAGCGACAGAAACATGTTTGGTTCCAGTTTTCAGTGTACCTACCAATTCATACAGTATGGTGCAGTGCATAAACATATGCAGGCATATAGGGTGAATTCTCTAGACACCAGTGAAATGTATTCAGACTTTCAGCTCAACTCAATCACGACGAGGGAGTCCATATGTTACTTCTGTCTGCACAGTGATAATGGGCTCCTCCCTGTAGGAATCTCAGCTGGATGACGTATTGGTAAACCCCAAATGAGCGTATCTGAGGGAAGTTTTTCTTGAAGTGCTCAGTTCTTTTATGCGTCCTCCTGTGCTGTTGTGGAAGAAGCTATTACACCATTTGTCATTACAGAAGTTGTGCATTTCTGTCAGATTCTGGAGTATTTTCTTTTGTTTTATTTCCACTGCTGTTTTCTGCACTGCTACATTTTCTTCCACAAATTGCCATGCAGAAGTGCTACAGCTAATCTTCTCCGTTACACACAGCTAGTTAGGTTTAATGATTGCTGTTACCAAAGATGTCACTCTGTTTTTGTTTTGTTTGTTTTTTATGCCACAAAAGTAGCATGGAAATGAGAGCGGTAGGAGGATAACCACTTGAACACAGGCTGAAATATCTTAACCATTGAAATGTACTGACATTACTTGTCCTCCAGAGAATGATTTTGGCTTTCCAGTTCCTCTGACCTTTAGGACCTCTAGCGAATTTTTAATTGCTTAAGTGAGTTTTTATCTAGAATTATACACAGGTCACTTACAAAGTGAAAACTTGAAACCTACTGAATAGACTGGCATCTAAATTTACCCAGGCATAAAAGCTCCCCAAGCAATGAACGTTGTTGATCTTGTGACTTTTCCCTCTAATGCCAGTGGGAGGTTAACATCTGTGGTTTTGAGTCATATGGCTCAACAACTACTGGATGAAATTTTGCACACATGCTCAGAATGTCCACAAGGAGAATTGCTGGTGGTTTTGTGCTTCTCTCAAATATTTATCCCATGTCAAAGTGTTGAAAAAGACAAGAAAATTTGGTGCATTATTGTGTCAAAATGCTGCCTTGCTAGTGCTTTGTTTTCGTCTTTTATGAAATACCTGCTAAGCAAATGACATTTCCATTCAACACTGCTGTTCTTTGTAGAGTCTCAGTGAGCAGACTGCATTCATGTTGACTTACAATCTTGTCGAATTTTTCTTGTGAACCTTTGAAAAAGCTTTCTTTTTCTTGCAACTTCAACTCACAAAGAGTGTGGTCAAAGAGGCACGGCCATGCCAATGACTCCTGTGAACATATCTACGCATACCGTAAGATTGTGAGCGTCCACAAACATTTCATGTGTGACCACCTGATGCATTCATAAACTGCTGTATTTGCATTAAAGATTCATGCTAGTGGTAATGGTTTTGGTTGTTTAGGTTTTTTGCTTTTTTATGCATCATGTCTACTGGATGTCACTATCAGTGTATACAGGCTTGTGTCTTATGGTTCAGTGCAATCATTACCCTAATGATGTACAACTCTATTAACAAATTAAAGTGTGAGTGCATCCCTTCAAGGGCTGTTTTCCCATTTTTCTTCATGTTTAATTAAAAACTGGTGCAGAAATTGCAGAGTGCTGGAGTCTGGATGGGGTTAAGTGCTGAGGGCAGTTCTTACACTTCTTGTATGGCAACGATAAACACTTCAAGTGGGCGCAAAGGGAAATGTATGTTAACCATATGAGCTAATCAATGCCTGTCAAAAAAGATGCATAGTTAGAGCATTTTTAAGACCGCACAGTCGCTTGCAATCAGTGTATTAAAATGAGTCCCCCATGAAAAGGCCCTTTGACTCCTGAGCACACATGATCTTTGCTAGTCAATAACAATGCATTATTAACCACATTTAGTTTGCTAGCGTGCTAATTTAATTTTTGATGCTGTTAGAAAATGTTGTGTTTTCACAAACACAGTGCTGTGAAAAACAATGCTATTATATCGTTTTATGTTTTTTTCTCCCTTAATCCATGTTTTCCTCACAAACACAGGCAACAGTGTAAATAACACCACTCATATTTGCATCTATTGCAATATGCAGCGAGAAGTTCCCTCAATGAGTTCCTAAAGAAACAAAGAGCGACAGAATTAATTCTTTATCATCTAAAATTTGTCATGAGGAAATTATCTTTTAAACACAGAATGAACAAAGGAAGGTATCAGAGGTCCACTTCTATCAAAATTTTAATGTGTGTAAAGCATTTAACAGGCTTCAAACATTAAAGTTTAAATATTCTTCATTACTTTTACAAGGGAAAATGTATTTCTGATGTTTTTCACAGACTCTTTACTACCTTATTTGCAGAGACATGCTCTCTCAACTTAAAACCTCACTTTAGAATAACCTTGCGTGATTAATGAGGTGAACTCTATGGTGTAC